AACGATAATATAGGTTTTTTTTTTGGGCAATGAGATATGAAGCTCTACGCAGATGAAATTTTATTGATGAGATGTGACTAGATTTTTTCTTGGGTTTAGTTGATGGGTTAATGAGTCTTGGGTTTAGAAATTCTTGGATTATGATTGGAGAAAGACCAAAGTAAGTAGATGGAAATTAATATATTGGATCGGTTTGGATTGGATTGGTTTTCATTAAGCAATCCGAAAACCGATCCAATCCAATTAAAAGTTGCAGTTTTTTTTCGATTTTCGATTTTTCGGTTTTCGATTTGTTCGGTTATCAATTTTTGAATTCGGTCACCGAGATTTGAATCGATTTGGATCGGTTGATGAACACCCTAAGTATTACATATAGGGATGGCTATCCAAGAGAGCACAAGCTATTTTAGCTCAAACGTCTGTACTTCTTAGTTCTTGCTAAGGGAAACGAGTTCAAGTTTTGTACTACTTGAATCAATTATTGTTGATTTAAGAATTATATTTTTAAAATACTAAAAAATACTTAGTCTTATCATTAAAAAAAAGGTTAAGTATGTGTCCTTTGGTAATTAACACTATGTACTATCCGTAGTACATGGTGTTACTTACTTAAATGAAATAACCTTATATCTTTTTATAGGACAAATCTTTTTTTCTTAAAAAAAATCACTTTCTTTTAAGGAAAAGGATCCGTTTACAAACTTTTTTATAAATTACACTAAATATGACCGATCATGCACTTTTGATTGAAGTATAATCGGTTTGTAAGAATTTATAAACAAAAAATTTATAAATATAACCTTCTCCTTCTTTTAAAGCATCATATTCTTCAGAAATTTGTCAATATTTTATTATTTACAAAACATAGCCCATATACAACTTACATAAATTTAATAAAAAATAACTTTATTAAGAGAAAAAAAACGTAAGAGAAATAATAATGTTTACGTTGCAAAACTTTCCTTTCGTGGGTTATGCCTTGCTGCCTAGGTTTGTGTTACAATATCTTATGTATTATACCAATACTTTAAATTTAGGAAAATTCAAAATATTTAAAAATTTATTTAAAATTATAAGAGATATATGCATAATTGATTTAGAAAAATCTAATATATATATATATATATATATATATTAATATAAAAATTTTAAATTATAACAAAGATATGTATAATCAATTCAATGGTCTACAATCAATTATGAGAGTTATGTGACTCTCAATATTATATGAAATTAACATTATTTTGAATACAATAACTGCACTAAGATTCGAACCTATAATTTTATAAAAAATTATAATTACCTAAATCCCTCGCCTGGTTTATGAAAATAATATTATTCAACTAATGCACACCAAAAAAAAAATTACTCAACCAAAAAATAGTAATTATTATTTAAAGTTGAGTTATTAATATAATTGAGGAGTTTTTTTTTTTGGTGCAGATAATTGAGGAGCTATCATACAGAATATAAGTTAATATTTGGATTAAATTTTTACAATATATAAAAAATTATAAAAAAAAAAGTCACGAAATATCATTATATGCTTCACAGTTTTAAAGAGGGTTAAAAAAAGTCGTCCATCATAAGTTATAACGAGACATAGCGTGGGGAAGACTTCTGTTATATATATGTAAACAAAATTATTAGATAAAAGAGGAATGGACATAATTTATTAAGTTATATTTAATAATTAATTATTAATTTATAATAAATCACAAGTCAAAAAGATCCTCTCCTATATATATTCCTTCATAGTGCTTCTTTCTAATCGCATTCTTTGATAAAATAAACAGAGTATATTACAAGTGAATAATCAATCATATTTTATCATTAAATAATCACTTTAAATAATAGAAATAAATAATAATCTGAAAGTAGTATTAAGTTTATTTAAAATAGTATCAACTTTTTTTAAAATCCATTTGACTTCAAGTTTTCTTTTCTTGTTATTATTCTTTTTACGTTCTTTTTTTTTTCCAAATCCAATCATGCGAGCCCCAAAAAAAGAAAGGACCAAGGAAAAGTTGGTATCCTTTGAGCTTCCTTCAATCCCATTTTCCTCCACAAATCTCAAATTGGGTGCATGAGATGGCACACACGAAGAACAACAGTAAATGGTGTGTTTTCTTCTTGTTAAATATTGCATACATATCCACAATACCATATATCGATCCTCATCACTCTTTAAAGTTCTACACTTGGTGGATTCATCCAACTCAATGAAATTACGAAAGTACTTTGTTGTATTTTTTTGTACCTTTGTTGGACCTAGCTAGTTGTCTCTGGCTTTGCAAACTCCTCTTAGGCAGCTATATAAAAAAAATAAAAATAAAGGATCGATGACAAAGAAAGGAAAACCAAGTGGGAGTTATTGCCTCTAAAAAGCAAAGCATGTGCAATAGGAATCTCAGGTGATCGTGTCCGCACTCATCTCTGTCTACCTCTTCCCTTTTGGCATCATTTCTTTACCCGCTTTTCATTTTGGCAGATTCCTAAATTCGGGTATGGCAATAGTTTACAATATAGAAGAAATAAATTGAGGCTAAAAATAAAAAGAAATTAAGTTGTTAAGTGAAAAGAGAAATACTCATAATAATTTTTTTATATATAATAAAATCATGAAATTTTAATGATCATTATCATCTATTAAACTAGATAATTTGAATGTTTACGGCTTTGAAAATTTTGGAGAAAGTGTGAATGTTTTCCAAGTGGTTTTTTTTTTTTTTTTTCTTGCCCATTAATGCCATTATTCCACTAACCCTGCCTACGCCTTTTCTCCTTCTTTCAAGTGGGCCTCTCAATTTTTCAGTTGAAATGCTAAAACATGTTATAACCCATGATCCATCCATTGAAGCACAACTAGCTATTATTATTATTATTATTATTATTATTATTATACATATTGGGGTTCACAAGACTTTCAAGCCTATGAATTATAGTGGCAATGCGGCAAATGATATATGATTAAACTCAATAAACGTACAATGACATAACAGGTTGGCCTTTTGGTGCCATCACTGGGAAGGGAATGCCGACCAAACATGTCATAAGCCAAGGCAAATACATTAAAAAAAAAAAAAAAAGGTAAGTCAATAAATTTTCACTCTTATGTTTTGCTTTTCCATGAACTCATCCTATAAAATGATGACGGCTAAATCATTCTATAATTCTTTAGTTGTTTGCCCCTCATGAAACTCATGTGAAAGCAGTCTCTAGGTGAGTTGATCAAAGAGGAAAAGACTATTGACTCGTATATAGGGCCCTGAGTCAGTTGTGAATTGTTACAAGGAAATTGCTGCACCAACCTCACCTAACACGTTACAAATCAACCAAAACAAATGTAAGACCACTGACCTGAAGACCATTTTGTTCGTATGCACACGCTATTTATTTTTACAACCACCCCATCCCAATGAGGAGCTTTCCCCATTATGAAGTTGTACATGAAGGAGTTATAGAAAATCAATTTGCTTTCAGGAACTTTTATTCTATGTCTTAGTATAAAAAAGAAGAAAAAAGTCTACAGGAAACATCTTTACCAAACATTACGTCCAATTGCGCTCAATGGTGCTGTTCATAATCAGGGCTAGAGTTAGACCCAAATAGCTTTTGAGGTTTTGATGTTTGCGCCACGTCCACACTGGCTTTGGTTTATGGTAAGTCAACTTGTTATTGAATCAAATCAAAGACCCCTCTCCTCTCCCCAAGAAGACCCAAAAAAAAAAAAAAGGTAAAATAAAATAATCAAAACTGAAATTTAATCCTAATCATTTCGAGTTTCTCGAAGTTTTTGACGGCGAAAAGGGTCAACCTTTTAAACTTAGAAAGATAATTACGAAAAGAAAACATGCACACGAGATGTTAGTATCAAAGACAACTTTATCAATAGCACCGTGAGAAATAATCCCCTGAAAGCACTGATACAGATGCTTTATACGTTGATTTTTTGCTAAAATCTTATACAGTAGAGTACCTTTCATGAAAAAATAATAATAATAATAATAATCGGAGGATGCCCTCACATGTGAATTTAAATAAAAACAAAACATCCGAGCAAATTATTGATCCCTTAGTTTAATTTGAAAAGATAGACCAGTTGTTTCTTTTGAGGAAAAATAGATATGATAAATATAGGTAAAAGTATAGGGTTGAAACACCAATTGATATTTCGCATACGTTAAATTAACACTAGGAGTAACGAAAGTTCTGGGTTACAAAGTGACAACTCATTACTTTAGGAAGAAGTTGAGGATAATGAGCAGAACTGAAATGAGGAATATAATATTAGTAGTTAAATTATGCCTACAGAATGTTATGTATTGGTTGTTATTTGTGTTAACATTATTATCTCGATAAGAAAAAAAATTATGCTTGTACCATACAAGGGAAATGAACAAGTAGCTAATTGAACCCCGAACGATGTAATCCAACAGCGGTAGCATTTAATTTTCGTATTGAAATTTGCCTATTTCGTTTTTCAATACATGATTTCGTTCACCAAAATATTTTCATACGGTTTCGATATCGTCAAACCACGCGGACTGTCATAAAAATCGTATGGACATGTTTAACAGAAAACACTCAACTAATAAGAAAAAAAGGGGAAACGATTCAGCCTTGATTTCAAATACAACAAGTAAGTTTGGTATGCGATTACGACGTTAGAATCACCAAAAAAAAAAAAAAAAAAGAGGCCCTCCTCCCAACGCCTCCCCCCTTAAAGGAGGGGCCATCAAGTGTAGATGATGCGTAGGGCAGTCAATAATATGTCTACTCGTCAAATAAACAAATTTAAAATGAATTCCCATCTTGATCACCTTTAATTTCTCAAGGTCCTGAAATCAATGGAGGAAAAAAAATATCAAACTCTGAAGCTCCTAGAAAAAATGGATTTATAGCATGAAAAGCAATACGAGCAACATATCTGAACAAACATAATTTTTCTACCCCCTCGTTTTTTATTGAAAAGAAGGGAGAAGTATGTGCAATAGTATACAAACCTTTAGTTGAAGGTTCAACTTGAGGTTTCATGGCAGGGAAGAGAAGAACTTCCTGTCACCCAAAAGGAATGAGGATTGTAAGAGGTTGCAAAACACAAAGTGAGCATGCAGAGAGATAGAGAGAAAGAGCAAGAACCTTAATATTCTGTGAATCAGTCAGCAACATTGTCAACTGATCAATACGTACCCAAACCCCAACCACCAGTTGGTGGCAAACCATACTCCAGAGCCGTACAAAATGTTTCATCTAAAGCCATTGCTTCATCATCACCTGATTGCCGATCCTGACATGCAGGAACGCACATCAAACCGTTATTCTTATTATGCGTAAAAATTATCAAACAAACTAAGCAAAATCAATTTAGTACGGTACAGTTGTATCATATCTCATTACCTTGAGTTGTTCAGCATATCTCTGACGTTGTACTACAGGGTCATTCAATTCAGTATATGCATTGCAAAGCTGAAAAGTAACAGAAAAAAGTGAGTAATAAGAATCAAAAGGTGAGTAACTTGTTTTTAATGATAATCACCCAAGTTTTATGATCTTACTTCATGCTTATTAACAAACAATTCAAAACGTTCCGTCAGGCCTGGTTTTGATCTGTGCCACTTTGCCAAAGGACTCGTTATCTCAGGATGATTTATGATGAATGTAGGATTCACACACGTTTCTTCCAAAAAGTGCCCCACAAGCTGCAATATGACCAGCATAGCATCACGTATCTTGCAGACACCTCCTAAAGAGGCTCAACATAAAAAATAAGATCCAGATGAACAAGAATAGACAGCATTTAAAGCCCAACTGACACCTGTAATGATGTTTCAAAAGAACAAGTGCAATAAATTATTATATATATATATATATATATATATATATATATATATATATATACACACGGGTGAAGATCATTTTAAGTTACACTCTCAATCTTGTCCGTTGATCCCACCTATATCTAAAGGCTTTAATTTTTTAGTAATGTGAGTCATTGGATATAAGTGGATCAATGGTCAAGATTGGGTGTAAGACTTCTAATTCTTACACCGATGTAAGAATATCTTGCCCCTATATATATATATATATATATATAGGTTGGATCATTTGACACCAGTGTCAAATTTAAATTTTGACACCTTATCTGAGAGCCCTTAGATAAAAAAAAAAAAAATCAATGATGTCACATGCTTAGAAATCAGAGCCGTTGATTTTTCTTGATCTAATGGCTCTTAGATGAGGTGTCAAATTTATATCATACAATAGACACTTAATTTATACTTATATTTAAAAGTTAACTTTATATTTAAGTATGTTTTATAAAATTATTTAGATTCACATTTATTATATTTTAATGAATTAATTTAGAATATATTTAAAAAAATTTATATGTATATTTTAAAAAAATTACTTATTTGTATTGTATTATTTTTATGGAATTAACATTTCTCGAGATAAAGTTATATACTGCAATCTTAAAATAATATCATTTTGGTGTTTAGATTAAAAAAGAGAGTATTTTAGTAGTTTTTCTTTTTTTGGTAAACAGTAGAATAAATGTTGTTATAGGAAAGTAAAAATTTTAAAATATCTTTTATTTTTTATTCTAAACCTCAAAATAATATCGTTTGGGATTATAGGAAATAAATTTATCTTCAGTAACACGAGAAATACTTTTTCTATTTTTATTTGCATTTATATTATTTTATTAAAAAATAGGCTTGAAGGCTAGCCCTTTAAAAATTGATTTGTAGCCTAATTTTTAAAGATACTTTTTAATGAGCCCAAACTTGTACTAAAATAGTTCAAGCCAAATCACACAGTAGGTCCTGCCAAACCGTCTCACCCATTCCGTCATTGGATTTCGTTCAATTCATTTGCAATCCAAGAACAGCGTTTAGATCCGAAACTGGGTATATTTGGCATATATAATAAGCAAATTTTGCCATGTGAACAAAAAACAAAAATAAAAAGTTTGTCCCTTGTTAATGTTTTCACCATTTTTATAGGAACTAATTAATCTTTATTCGCGCTGGAATTTCTTTTCGGCAGAAGTATTTTTATTACAATCTGTAAATCTTGTTACAAGAATATCCATCAATCAATCACTAATTAAATAACAATTCTTGTATATATGACTCTATATTTATAAATATTCAAAGTTATTATACCTAATATTGTTATATCATAACACATTATTCTGTTAAAAATATCAATATATCCTTATGTCAATAGTATCGCAGCCAGATAAAATTCTATTGCAGAATGGGCTGAGCTTGACAGAAGACCTTAACCACAACTTAAAAAATAACTTAATATTTCTGTAGTAACCCGCTCAACAGTCAAAATTTTATCTAAATTTTATATTATATATTACTTTAGGTTTAATTTAACGACATGTATAGTTATACTACCCAATTGTTATAGTTTCAGTGATGCGAGTGTAATTCATAAGAATTTCTCCAAGGTTGGGCTTACAGCTGTTCAATTTATATACATGCAGAGGGTGAAAATGAAGAGCAATGAGACTGACATTAAAGAAAACAATAAAGAAAAGAATAAGAAAAGAACAAAAAAATAAAATAAAGAGAAATGATCATGCTCGAAGCAAAAACTTGTTTGTTTGTTTTAAAATCAACATTAACAATATCTTTATTCACAATTAATTAGGGCCGATTAAAGATGAACTCAAATAAAAAATATGAATACATTGAGGGGGGGAAATTTAAAATATATATAACATTATCCATAAAAAATAGCAGTAAACAATTAAAATAAAGATAGAAATACCGAAAAGAAATAATTCTTCATTTACAATTGCCAATTAAAAACTTAAAACTAATGTTGAGACACAAAGCTGGCCTGCGACAAAGCCAGCACCATTTAACCAAAACTAATTCTTAAGTCAACAATGCCGCTTCATTCTCATTTAACTAAAGGTATGAGCAAGTACTCTGCGTAAAATAGCTGCAATAAGAAACAAGATATCAATACAAGATCATGTTCCACTTTATATGTGAAAGGACATGACATAGAGCAAACGATTCGGAAATAAGTATACAGATAAACTGGCAATGATTCATGTCCAGAACAGTGTTGAATTTTCCACCAGAAAATAAAACTAAGTTCACCAGCTTTTCTTTTCTCTTTAATGATCAAAATACTTTGAACAGCTTATTAAAAATAAATTTATTTTAGGTAGGACCTCGTAATGTTTGAAGAAAATTTATTGCCTTGACCAATATAAGACTAAGTTTAGTAGCTTTTCTTTTATGAGAAAAATATCATGTTTTATAAATTAGATAATGACCTAATAATTTTACATAGAGATTCATATTCACAAAAATACTTTCACAGTGGCTACTGTACCCCGGTTTGTAGTTCAATTGGAACTTGGAAGTCATTAGAAATCAAACAACCATAATGTGTCAAAACAAGGTAATAGTAATCAAATAGCTATTTCTTTTGAATAATAATCTTGATCATGAACTCCTCAAACGATAAAACAGTCTTTTGGTGATTACCTTCCAGATAAACATATAGAAGGATGTTATGGAAGCTTTGCTTCTCAAATCTACAGATTTGGCACGATACCAGAGAACTGAAGCCAGAACAGCATGTCCCAGACCCTAACACATTGGCAGAGAATAAATTTCAAACATTGCTGAAATGTTCAAACAAGTTTACATACACTTGATATCGATCTGTATAATGATAGACCTTAGCTTTCTCCTAAAATAATGCCTTTAAAGATCAATTTTTACCTTTCACACTAATATCAAGATTATAAAGTTGGAATTTTCTATGCAACAGAGACAGCTTTCCTAGGGAGATATTTCCTTATTCCAGTCCAGTATCTATATATGTCATATTTCAAGCTTATAATATTAAACTAAACTGAAGTCTTCTGCACTCTTGTAAACTCTATGCCGATTTTGCAAGAGTGACTGAGCAGCTTAATTCAGTACTTCAGGGGACCCTTGTGGAAAAAAGACCATTGCCAAATGTTGATATTAACCAACCAATATACAGTAAAAATGCAGCATGAGAAGGAAGGCAAGTATATAGGTCACCTTCTTTGTAACTCACTAGTCTAAAACTTGTTAATCAAAATCACACCCCACCCCCCCAGGTACAAAAATAACTGCTTAAGTAAAAGAAGGATATAGCACACCTATAACTGCAACCTATACATGTAATAAGCATCTTACCGCAACAATTTTGCTCCAAAGGCAAGGAGATGCTGCTCCCACCAGGAGGGCGATTCCATAAGCCATTTCAAGAAGAGAAACACAAATCCAGAATACCTGGAAAAGATTAGTTAGGGACAAGAAAGGGATAAAAGACGGCATGGACACAACCAAGTCTGCATATATGTTGCATTTGAAGAACATACCCGCTTCTGACCTAAACGTACTGAAAAAGATTGGATGCCAAATATTTTATCTCCTTCAATGTCAGGTATATCCTATATAAAATCCAGTAAAAGGTTTACATTAGGTATACACATTGAACCAAAAGTTTGATGTTGAAAAGTGAAAACAATCGCATGTTCTAAGAAACTAGAGGCTTTTACCTTGAACAATGCTATAACTACAGAGAAGAAGCTCATGAATGCAGTAGCAAAAATCAGGGGTCTTGAAAAGACAGCCGGCCTCTTGTACACATAAGTCTGGACATTGTTCCATGAATTAGCAACCAAAAAACATCAGACTTCCAGGAAGATAGATTTGTTGGATGGAAAATTATGACAGACTAGTCAGACACCAATGATATCAACACTACAATTGTTAAAATACATCTGTTCCTTTCATCTTTCTCAGTTTAGTACCGTGGAAGGGTTATTAAAGAATACAGGCCTTCCTAGGACTAGATGGTGGAAATGGTTTAGTCCAGACAGAAGGTGGTTTCAAATATTTTATCATAATCCAGCCAAGCCAAACCTGAAAACTTGGTATAAGGATCTGTTATTGCTGCTAATGCATGCTAATCCAGAACTAGAAGTCTTTAAAGCATAATTAGCTAAGACAAAACCTGCATGTGAAGGAAAAATGCAAGTTGAACCACTACTGCCCGAACAGCTAGAATGCACATCGCTGCAAGCACTGCAAATCTTTTCCATCTAAGCAGGGGCACCTGAAAATTTTCAAAAGACGGATAGTTATAAAAAAAGATGTCACCATCAAATAATTTTGCAAAATGAAGCTTTCTTCATAGTGTCTCTAAAAATACGATATTTTTTTGCCTGCATGCTCGAACATGGGTAGAGTAAAATCTGTATCAATTAGGACATTCGAAAATAATTTGAGAAGTATTCAATAAACTTGGCAAACCCGATGCCCAAGGCTCTCTGACTTGTGAGGGTGGAGGTGAGGGTTGATTGTACACAGTCTTACCCCTTGCATTTTAGAAAATAGGTTGTTTCTCAAACTCGAATCTGTGACCTATTGGTCACAAGGAGTAACCTTATCGCAGCTCCAAAGCTTGCCCTCTTGAAAAGTATTCAATAACCAGTAAAAATGCAATCAAATTTTCTATCCGAACAAAATGAATATCAGTCAGCGCAGCAATTGTCTCCTATTAATCTATTAAGAATTTACTACTTGAATTAATTGCTATTGCTAAAATATGAATCTCATGTTAATAACAAAGATACTACTCTTACACAATTTCAACTCTTAAATCCCCACCTCCAACTCGCATAGTTTTCCTCCTTAAAGGAAAAATAAAAGAAATTGATACTATTTGACATTTATTGCGATGACATTTGACAATACAAGTACTGAGCTGAACCCTGAACAAGTACGATACCGCTCATATAGATTTCCAAAATGAAAACATTGTATCATGACCTTTACATAATTATGCTTTAAATAATATTGGTGTTTTTTTATTTTAAGGGGGGGGGGGGAGAAGGAGTTTAACTGCAATCCAAAAGAACTCACATTGATTGAATAAGCAGTTCCTAGCGCAAAACTGACAAAAAGAGCCCAAAATAATGGCCATGAACCTACAACCCAGCCAAGCCAAAAACTCTGTAAAAGAGAATAAAACAATAAGCCTCCTTCTACCTGTCAGTAAAGTTCATCTTGAAAAATATCATTGGAAAAAGGGATGAATCTATATGGTACCAGAATTGAAAAAGATGCAACAATAAGGACACCAGTTCCAAAGGAATATTCCCCAGATGCTAATGGAAGATATGGCTTGTTTATCTGCAGTAAAACATGTAGCACGGATCAATAATAAGACATCCCAATGTTGTTTCCTCAGGAAAGTTTGTAAGCTATAAAAAGTTGCATATTTTCTTCACCGCATCAGAGGCTAAAATAATTGGGGAAGCTTGATAAACTAATATATAAACCACAGTTTGGTGGTCAAAATCAAATAAACGGCTCAAACTGTGCATTTGAGCACAGAGACTCTTGTATACACCTAGTCTATATATGTCTCTAAATATCCAACTTCAGATAAACCGACATGAATTCTACCACGATCATCTTTTTTTTAGTGGAATAATCCAGAAACCCAAAAGACACAAAAAAATCATTGATTAGGTATCCAGATTGTTTATTTCTATCAGTAAGTATCATACCTTGTCTATTTCAACATCAGACAATTGATTCAAACCAACGATATAAATATTCATAAACAGGGCAGCTACCACAGCCTGAAACATTAAGAAAAAAACTCAAAGTATTAATGAAGTTTCTTTCTTTTGGTGGGGGGAGGGGGAGAGCAATTGGCCATTTGAAGAGAAACAACATATCAGGGGTCTCACCTGCAGCACACCAGTAAAAAATAGTGGAGATAAATCTGAAATTTTCTCCACTGCAAGGAGAGAGACAGAAATTATGCTTAATGCCTGCCCAAACACAAATAATTGAGCCCTTTAAAACATCCAGAATATTACAATTATCCAAAAAAGTGGTTCATACAAATGAATTGTATTCGGTATTAACCATAACATTCAAGTATTAATTCTAAGAGTAATTATAGAAAAGCTTGAGCTTAACTGTGCCAATAACTGTGTGCGGCCTGGAAAACCTGTAGAAAGCATCCAAAGAATGCTTGACAGAATCCCAAATGCTTTTTGGATCAAAAGCTCGAGGTTCAGATTCAAAAGATTGTCCAGAGGCCGCTTTCACAACATATCTTCTATTGCATTCTTGACATGCAGACACTCCCTCAATGCCTTTGTAAAAAAGGTTCAAACTTTGCAGCCTAAACCTCAAAAAATTACATTCCTTTTGGATTTTCCTTTTGTGCAATGAAGCTTTTGGTGCATAAGAACCTAGAGAACCAAATGTTAGATATTAGTGTCAGTGACCATGCAGAACAAAAAATAAAAATCATTTCTTGCTTTAGAATGAATCAGAAATGAAGAGAAATCTATTAAGGGAGAATTTTACAATCAATGTCCAAACTTCCGGAAAGGGTACATGTTACTTGCAACTCTACCAAGACATATACTGTTCTCGGTATATAGACAGACATAAGAGAGTCAACTGATTGAGATTACTATCATCTATGCTGACTTCTCAAAAGAAACACAAAAAAGTTACCACACCACAATTAACATCACAAAGCATGTTCATTACCAATTGATAACATACTGCTTCGGATCATCACAACTGGAGAGTTATATATTCATAAATGCTCTTCCCATAGAAGGGAAGATTTCTAATGCACGCATGCTTCTAGCAATCATCAAGATTTTCAACATTCCCTTTACTGTGATCCAAAGAAATGACTCTGCAATTTATCATATTTCAAAATTTGAATGTAATTTATCATTTTCATGTCAATGTCAATATTTTCAAGGCTTTATAAAGTTACAATATAACTAGTTATGCTGTTCCATCCAGAAACTGTAAAAGTGATTCCTACTGCTAAGGATGCCATTGTATACACATTTTGAAGAATGGAGGATTAGCAAAGGTGTAAGAACAAGAACAACAGAAACAACAACAACATAACTTTGGGCATGAAAAGGGGAGGCGTGAAAGGGAAGGGATGGGAATTGCCAAAATATATAGGCAAAATGTATCATTTGATGCAGTGTTAATTCTGGTCCTTTCCGTCCATGACACCCATTTTCACTCCTACTGACAACACAAGATTCCACGGCAACAGAATTACCAAGATCCAAAAGGCATGCAACCAACGTTAGACAAATTGCAGACAGAAAGTTTTTTCAACAATGCCACTTCTCCATACATTATAAAAACATGTGTAGAATTCATATCGTGGACCACTCTGATAATTCATATCCAAAAGAAACTGGATTTGACATTTTTATAAGATTCCTTATTTTATATCAAAATCTCTTCAAAATAATACTAGGGTGGGAGATCAAGTTAGACTTCTACATAAGCTACCTAGAAGTAGAATGACTAGCGTAAGTGCACACCATGAATGTGTTTTTTTTTTTTTTTGGGGTAGAAGAAAGTATAGGGGTAAGGGAGGTTGCCTCATTCCAAGGTCAGGGCATGCCACAAACCTTAGCAAGGGGTTACAGTGGTACTCACACATGACCTACTAATGAAAGACCACCAGCAGGAATCCTTCCTGAAACCTTGTTGTTAACGCTATTCAATTCTACTGGTTGAGCCAATAGTCATTGGCTATGTGCCTTATGCATAAAGAAGGAATGAGAAAACATGTAAATATGAAACACTAAAATAGTAATGAAGTTAAAGAAAAAGGGGGATATATCAGACAAACCTGCATAGTAATTCTTGGCATAATTTTTATTACTACTCCAGAAATTTCCACCTACCACCACCAATGGTTCCTCGTGTTAGTCAGCAAATAATTTTGTAATGAAAAAATTGACCAAATGGATCAGTGGTTCATCTTTAATAGTCATACCCTCTAAAAAGAACCGATATTAAAAAAAAAAAAAAAGGAATAACTTTGAATTACTCTTATCAGCACATTCAAATATGAAAATTCAGTAGCCATTTTGCAAAACAGAAGATGGGTATGAGGAAAAGCTCAATGGAAGTATGGAACAGCCCTTTTCCTTTGTCATTTGAACTTAAGAATTGATAGGTCTTAGCATTTTTTATTCAAGAAGCATAAACGTTACTGATGTGAGAGCATACTTACCAGCCGTAATTGAAGAGACATTAGGAAAAGATCCAATAAGCACCGAATCCATCTAAAATGTGTATATAAATTCTACTGAAGTTGGATTGAAGTTCAGTTCAGTTGAGTTTTGATGGAGCCACCAACAAAACACACTTTCCCCCTTCGCCCTTAGAAAGCGTTCAAAACCACTCTTCTCACCTCAATAAAACCAGAATGGGTTTTTTTTTATTTTGTTTTTTTTTTTAATCTCAGATTTTTCCGAAGACACAGTGTCATTGTCAACACATGTCAAAACACAAAACTACTTGAAAAGTCTAAAACCAAGCTAGCAGGGCAACACGTGTGTGTCCTCTCGGGAAATAGGTTTCAAAAGACTAGATTCTCTATTCCACGCAACAAATACTTCGTTTGCTCCACCAATAATATATAAATATAAATAAAAGTAAGTGCGGTGCGGCTCTGTGTGTAGTGTGTACTGTCCACCAGCATGAGAAATGTGAGAATTTTCTGTGCTACTGCCTACTGCACCACATGGTTCTTGATCAAAAAACAAAAAAATAGAATATTAGTGAAAATAAATATAAAGGTAAGGGTAGTACAAAAATATTGTTTTTTATTATATTTGGTGAAAAGAAGATGGAATATTCTGTGATTCTGGAGTATTAATAACATCTTCATGAGAAATATACCCTCCTCAAATGAAACAAAATTTCGGTACCGCATATCTTTGTCAAATATGAAAAAATAATATATTTTTATTATTTTTATTTTCATGATTATTTTTCCTTTTTGTAAGGAAATACCTACTTCTATTGCCTCCAAAATGTACTTCATCCTTAAATGACAGGTTTTGATGTAAGATATAAGTTTGTATTGTGGTAATTATTTGAAGTCCAAGTTAATTATAAAAAAAAAAAATTGAAAGTTTCTTAATGCTAGTGTAAACAATTGACTAAAAATCGAAAAAATAATTGGATTGAAATACGTGTGAATTTATTCACCTACTAACCATAAAGAAGGCCTAAACAGTTTCTAATGGGTCAGTAATAATTCAAGCAGGTGTTAAACGTCTTATACATTTTTTTTTCCTTGTAAGGTAAACTTAGGGAGTTAGGATTTTATAAATTTTTATAATTTATTAATTTTACCCATCAATTATCCTTGATTGTTTCTTTAAAAACTAGTGATTTTAGTGTTTCATTACTAGCAAGCATTCGTGTATCATACGAGTAATTTTAAATTTAAATAAAATTATAATATTATTAAGTTTAAAAAAGTTTATATTTAATTTATGTAAAAAAAAATTAAAACAAATGCATGCCTACTTAATTTAAAAGAATTTAAATTTGAAATTTAAAAAATATGCTAAGATAATATGTCACATTTGAAAAAATATATTCTAAATTAATATATTAAATTGATTTAAGAGTATAAATAATCAAAAATTGAAAAGAAATAGAAAAATATTATCACAAAAAAATGAAAGTAATTAATATAATATTTTTTGAAAAAAATCAATAATAAAATAACGTGTCTTAAAAAGTATAATAAAAAATTTGTTTATTTTTAAAAATAATAACTTTATTTTGTTGTATAATGTATTACTACACGTTAAATCTCGTTGAAAATGATGCTACCTTTTAGATTTTGATTTGAAAGTTGCGTTTTGTCTATGATATAAATGCGTAACCTCACTGGCTCTTTTTCCATACACAACTTACAAAGGAAATTCAGTATAACGGGGCTTTTTGATAGTGAATGTTTTCTACTTTTCTTGCGGCATCTTTGCCCTGTTTATTACTTTTTTTACCCAATGAAAGAAAGAAAAAACAAGGGTAAATTATACAAAATCACCCTATACTTGATTGCTTTTTCAAAATAGCACCCTAAACTTTTAATTACAATAATTTACCCCAGATACTATAATATTATAGCAGTTAAATATAGAGAAATTATACTCTTATGTCACATAAGACTCTTCTCTCATTTTACACTCACATAAAAAGACTTGTCTCTTTTTTTTTCTTTTTTCTTTTTTTAAAAATTGATGGATCCCACTTAATTTATCTCACAACATGAGATAACTTCTCTCATACAACATGAGAGAAGTAAAACCCTTAAATATATTTGAGTCAAAATTATCCTGATTCTCTCCATCTCCCGGTAGTTGTCAGTCACTTGTTGCTGCCTATCATCGTATGTTGGCTCTTATGTTGTGACTTATCTAATTTTCTCTCCCTAAATGAATGGATTTTGGGTTTTTTGATATACTAGTTCATTTTTTAAAAATTTTAACCGGATTAATTTACTGGTCAAATTTATTATCAAATTAATGCATATAAACGTGTCACTTGACATGCTGTGGTGTCTAAACAACGGCGGACCTACATATGATGGAGCTGTAATAGGTGACCGACAATAATAGAGGGCTGTATCAAGGGAATAGGGGTAATTTTGTCTTTAACTGGTCAAGTATGCTTAATTGCGTTAATGTTATAGTACGAGGGAGTGAATTGTTTCAATTTAAAATTTAAAGTGCTATTTTGAAAAAGGAATCAAGTACAGAGTGGTTTTGTATAATTTACCCAAAGAACAATGTAATTGGCAAATGATAGTTGATTTTATTTTTGGATTTTATAATTCTCATTTAATATGAGAATTAAAATTTTTCTACACACTTTTCAATTTCTGTGCTGACATGAGTTCTACATATAATTTTTTTTAACACATGGATCTCACATATTTTTTTATCTCTATAACATAATATTTCAATTCTCATTTAACATAAGAATTATAAAATCCTTTATTTTTTACTTTCAATGGACAGATAAACAATTAAATAAAAAAACGCATCCGCAGCGGGCACTTTTGCACAGATAAGTTACTGTATGATATTTGCTTAAACTGAAGCAAAGATACTACTAATTGCAGTAAGAACCAAGAACATAAGTTTATAGCGCTGAAAAAAAAGGAATTTAAGTAAGAAATAAAAAATATAGAAAATAAGTATTGCAAACAATATTTTTATGTGTATAAAAAAATATTCTTACTTATAGTAATAATAAATTCTTAATCTAATTAAATAAGAAATAGATCAGGAATGTAAGAAAATATAAAAATTAATCTTTAAAAAATATTTAAGATACTTTAAAATATTATATTATGAGATATTTTTAATATTTTAATAATACTGAAGTTTAATTGTCTTTTAACTTTTGGAGGTGAATTTCATGCTCTCTTGCCTATTATTGTGCACACCCACGCTTTTGACGTCTATATCTCAATATTATTATCGTGTATAGTGATTCGCTACTTCTTACGGTATCTCTTTCATAGACTCACCATCCGTATAAATATTTGTGTTTGACATACCAATCCTCCGGAGTATCTCCTAAAATAAGTTAATTTATCCGTAAGATCAAGCTGTCTATATGTTAAATTTGGAGGGGGGAAATATAGAATATTTATATTGCTAAAAAAATAAAGGGTATCAAATGAATATTCAAAATGCCACGGATTACCTAAGAAATGCGACGGCAGCGATGGTGCTGTCTCACTACATTCGTCAGAATTGATGCTCGAAATATTTGTTGAACTTCGTGCAGCTGCTTCAATGCCTGATTTCCATTTAAGAGCTACACAGCTTCAATATGTAAGGGATTGGGTGTAAGCAATTTTAGTTAATTTTAAATATGAATCTCCTCATTACAATATTTTGCATACTATTTGTGTCTTTTTTTTTTTTTGTATAAGTATGAAAATTAAAGCAAGCAAAAACTAGTTACAGTCTGGGTCCATAAAACCCAAACAATCATCTACCACTAATTTACTACACCCAACAGGGGGAAAACTATGCCAAATAGTATTCCAGTCCAAAGGAGAAGCATGTGCAGCCATCCAGTCTGCAACTTTATTCCCTTCTCTAAGAGTATGGGATATTTTCACCTTCCAAATTTTCCCAAGAGCATCTTTCATTCTGTCTAGCAGCGAGTGACAGGGATGATATGCAGGACATCCTTCCTGGACAATCCTCAAAGCTTCCATAGAATCTGTCTCAAGGTTAACCTGCTGATAACCCAACATTACAGACCATTCTAATCCAATAACCATGCCCCAAAGCTCAGCCAATAACACATTCCCATATCCAATCTTTTTTGAGAATCCAGCAACCCATTGACCAGCAGAGTCTCTAACTACACCCCCACAACTAGATGCACCTCCTTTAACACAGCAAGCTCCATCTGAGTTGATTTTGATCCAATTAGGAGAGGGAGGTTTCCAAGACACTACCACTTTTCTTCTTTCAGGAAGGAGGCCAACCTTCAAAAACAACTCATCAGCCACCACCATATCCAAAATAAATTTCGAGGTTCGATACACCAAATCAATGGGCAGACATCTCGAATTATTGAAAATAAAATTGTTCCTTTCCTGCCAAATTAACCAGCACATGACCCCAAAGAATTTCCTCCATTCCAAATTAGCTTCCCTCCTACTCAGGTTCTCTTCTAACCAATCTTTAAATCCTCCAGCATTATAGAGACTAGTATTCTTCCCCTTGCAGACCAACCTCCAAATATGTTGGGTCCACTCACAGCCTCTGAAAATATGATTACAATCCTCCAAAGGGTCATTGCACCTACTGCATCTTGCATCCACACAGAGATTCATTCTATTCCTTCTGTCATTAGTAAGAAGATTCCCACCTATCAGAAGCCATAGAAAGGCTTTGATTCTTTGGGGTCCCTCCCAGTCCCAAGCCAAATGCCACTTTATACAGTCATTACTAATCAGAGGGGGGGATAGGAACTCATAAGCTGATTTTACTGTAAATATACCTGATGAAGACTGGCTCCATATAACCCGATCAGGACCATTATCAACTGAAGGAGGGTGAACATCTTTAATAATACTGATAATCCCATCATCAAGAAACTGTTCAAATTTAGAGTAATGCCAATCTCCATCTTGATTTATACAGTCCACCACCAGCCACTCTTTATCACCTTCTGGAATTGGACTTGTTACTTTATCAATTAGTCTTCCCACTTCTGGAACCCAGCAGTCCCACCAAAATTTTGTACTGCAGCCATTACCAATACAAATTCTTGACCCATTCTGAACACAACTCCAATTATTGTAGATCCCTTTCCAGATGCTAGAACCATTCCTGTTTTCCTTCAACACAGGGACCAGATCACTGCTCACCAAGTATTTACTTCGCAGG